GAATGAATGAATGCATGCATGCGTGGGTGCATGCATGAATGAATCGCCATGGTCAGTGTTCCTCGCTGGGCTGCCACACTTCCGCTTCTAAAACATCGATGGAGAACCAGTGATAACTGACAAGCCACGCCGCAGGATCTCTTCGTAGTTAAGCGTGGAAGGGGGCAACCACGTGGAAGGGGGCAACCACCACCCTCGCACATAGTGGGGCTTAATTCTAAGTAGATATATCTAGGATTGCACTGAAGTTATTATTAGGGTGAGAAAAGCTCAAGTGGAATGAAAACTTTCCTTTAAGGCTGGGAAGCTTTTGCCTGTTTATATTTAATGCTTTCCTTTGATAGTAAACTATCTCCTGAGGAGAAAAAGAAAGACAATGAGTCAACGCTGGCTATATCAAGAGGAACCGAACATTAATTAGGATCCCATTGAATTAAGAATCCCAATTGAACCGAGAAGTTGACTAATACCCGGTCACTAGCGATTAAGGTGGGGAAGGGGCGGTGAAAGCCACCGTTTAGCTACTTGCTTGGTTTGGCAGGGCGCTTAAAAGGGAGGGGCTACTTCAAATACAGCGATCTCCTCCTAACGCGGCTTACTACAGTTTCCCCTCCACCAGAAGGGAACAACAACCATGCGAGACGGCTTGGCTGAGTGAGAGGGACTGACCAAAAGGCACCCAACCAGCGCCCATGGCAGAATAGAGATTTCAGCCTGGGTTTCCTTGATCATAGTCCAGCACTCCAACCTGTGTGCCACTCTGTCACGGTTGGAAAAACCCACTCTCGATGCCAGTGTTTGGGCACTGGAGAGGGATATCAGACCTCACTAGTTTTCTGTACTCCCCCCGCCCCATTGCTGGGGAGGGGTGCGGGGAACAGCTTATGCCAGGCCAATGTCTTGTAGGCTTCCCTCCCAGCGCAGCTCCACCGTTTCCGCTACAGGACCATGAAAGGAAGCTCCAGAGGCTACGGAACTAGGGCAGGAGGCTTCTCGGACATTTTGCGCAGGGTGCTTTCGGAAGAGAAGCAGAGCCTCAGGCAAACAGCTGACCGGGAGGTTGGCGGCGGCATCCTTCTCAGCACCGAATGAAAAACTGCCCAGCATTGGGGAGGCCGGGGAGGGGGGAGAGCACCATTCCTGGTCAATGAGCGGAGGAAGGGGAGGCCATATATGCCACATTGCTCATTTTGAAATAATCACGGTTCCCTCCCCGCATCCCCGGAGAGACCCGTTCCGTCCCAATTGCGCATCCATCCGTCACTCCATACAGGGGAACACAGAAGCCCCGGCCACACTGAGCTTCCTGCTGGTAGTGCTGTAAGCGGAGGAGCTAAACAGACCGCCTTTGATTCCGCCGCCAACGCGGAGCTGGGAAATCTTCCTCTGAGGAACTGCGCTGGGCTTTGAGGCAGCCAATATTCGCCAACCGGGGGCCTCTCTCCGGAAGAAAGTGACCATTCTGGGGGCAGCAGCACATGTCCGGGCTTTCGATCTGGACCGCTCTCTTCTCAGCACCCAGCCTGCCACTGAGCCCGTTGACAGCAGAAAGCCTAACACAACCACATATTCCCACCCCACGAAACCCTTGTTTCAGAGCAAAGTTTCCCGGTGAACGCCTGTCCCAGGCCAACAATGCCTCAGGAGACGCTGGGAAACTTTTCAGGACCATTCAGGCTAAGCTTTCCCCCCCCCCCCCCCCGCCTCAGTTCCCAGTCTCAACTGCACATCCCAAGGGCGGAAAACGTGCCCGGAGAAGGCTGTTTTGGGTTTTTCGACGCCCAAGCGAGAAAGTGGATTGAAGTACGAGAAGGCAGTACCCCAAGGGATTCAGGACCATGGACAGTTCTCAGGCGGAAAAGCCCCCTGGCGCATGCCCAGGTCGGCTTCACTCTAAATGAGGCTTCTGTGGAAGTGTTGGAAGTGTGGCCCGTTGACTTCCACAGAGGTTCATTGTCAGCAAGCTCAGTCAGAACACGTGGGGCGGCTTTCTTGGTTCCTTGGAAACGGAAGCTTCAGCAGGCAGTGGCAGGAGGCCCTCGAATGGTGGGCCGAGGCAAAGGGGAAGTAGGTACAGGATGCGGGATGAAACCCAGAGGTGGGATGGGGCTAAGAGGTGCCCACAGGGGGGGGGGGGCGGAGCACTCCTTATCCTGCGGTGGGGAGAGAGATGCAAGGCAGAGTGCGCGATATCCGCTTTAAGCAATGCGGGGCTCAAAGAAAGGGAAGGAGATCCCGAGCTCCACCGCTCAATTCTCCTCTCTCCTCTCTGTTCTTGGCGCTGCCTGTTGGTTCTCTTCTTTCTTGCCCTGGTGGGACTGCCCAGCCGACAAGGCACATCTGCCGCCGCCCTAAGCTTCCCCCGCAAAAGGGGGAGATCCGTATGAATGCCGTGTCTCCTGCCGAGCCTGCTTCTCGCGCTCTTATTTCTCCGGGTCAGCTGCAGAAATGAAGGGAAATTCTCACTAACCGTTGGCAGGACTGCTCCACACAAAGCCACTCGCCCGAAGGTCTGAGGTCAGACTGGGAGATCTAAGATCAGCCGCCCTTTCGCTACCCAGTTGGCTTGGCGCTGTCCAGACCTCTGTGCTGACGGTGGGGTGGCGTGGGGGGTCAAAACCAAGGCTAGGCTTGTCCGGGAATGCCTCTCCTGGGGCCACGGAAGGATGTCTTGCTCAGGCGTGAAGGCCAGGCGGGCCTCGAGGCCATGAACGGTGAAAAGGGAAGGGTAGGAGAGAGGGGGCACTCGAGGAGAACCAGTGGGGAGACAACTGGAGGCTCCTCGGCTTCGGTCCCCCGTGTGGTTGTTGCAGGGGATGAAGGCAGGAGGCTCACTGTGGCTGAGAGGATTTCTGCAGCCTGCCGCGGGAACAGATTCACAACACGAGTCAGCCCAATGAATTACTTGGCCCCAGACGGCAAGGGTGCCACCGCTCCTCATACTTCCCTTCAATAAAGAGCACTAGTCATTGACTCTTCCTCTGGGTCAGGTCTCTCCTCTAGGCAGAGACAAGTGCCTGTCAGCAGGATATTGGCTCTTTCGTGCAGAAGTCCCGCTGAGCACGCACACCCTTAACTTCCCAGGAAAAAAAACCCTGCCCAATTTTCTCCCGTGAAAGCCCAGAAATATCTCCACGGATCTGCCCCTTCCCAAGCTGCAGGCCGTGCAAAAGAAACAGAGAGTGAGTATAAATGGGCAATTTTCACAGTGGAGGGTGGTAAGCAGTGGGGTACCGCAGGGCTCAGTGCTGGGTCCAATGCTTTTTCACTTGTTCATTAATGATTTGGAGTTGGGAGTAAGCGGTGAAGTGGCTAAATTTGCAGATGACACGAAGTTGTTCAGGGTGATGAGAACCAGGGAGGATTGTGAGGCACTCCAATGGGATCTGTCGAGGATGGGCTTGTGGGCGTCAACGTGACAAATGGGGTTCAGTGTGGCCAAGTGTAAAGTGATGCACATTGGGGCAAAAAATCCAAAGTATAAATACACGTTGATGGGGTCCAAACTGGCGGAGATTGACCAAGAGAGAGATCTTGGAGTCTGCAGTAGATAATTTACTGAAAATGTCGAGACAGTGTGCGACTGCAATAAAAAAGGCCAACGCTATGCTGGGGGTTATTAGGAAGGGAACTGAAAACAAATCAGCCAGTATCATAATGCCCCTGTATAAACCGATGGTGCGACCTCATTTGGAATACTGTGTGCAATTCTGGTCACTACACCTCAGAAAGGATATTATAGCATTGGGGAAAGTGCAGAAAAGGGCAACTAGAATGATAAAAGGGTTGGAACACTTTCCCTATGAAGAGAGGTTAAAGAGCTTGGGGCTCTATAGCTTGAAGAAATGACGACTGAGGGGTGACATGATCGAGGTTTATAAGATTATGCATGGGATAGAGGAGGTCGAGAAAGAAGTACTTTTCTCCCTTTCTTACAATACAAGGACTCGTGGGCACTCAATGAAATTGCTGAGTGGACAAAAGGATGTACTTCTTCACCCAAAGAGTAATTAACACATGGAATTCACTGCCACAGGAGGTGGTGGGGGCTACAAGCATAGATGGCTTCAAGAGGGAATTGGATAAACATATGGAGCAGAGGTCCACCAGTGGCTATTAGCCACAAGGTATAGATAGGAACTCTCAGTCGGGGGGAGGGGAAGTGATGCTCTGTATTCTTGATGCTTGGGGGGGGGGCAACAGTGGGAGGACTTCTAGTGTCCTGGCCCCACTGATGGACCTCCTGATGGTACGTGGTATGTTTGGCCACTGTGTGACAGAGTGTTGGACAGGATGGGCCATTGGCCTGATTGGCTTCTCTTATGTTCTTATGAACCGGGTCCTGTTGGGGAACTGAAAGAACAAACTGAGGATTTTTGCGTATAAAGCAAATTGCATCTGGTGAAGTGAGCTCGGATTCATGGTGGAAGACACGCTGTTAGTCATTACGGTGCACTTAGGGGCGGATTAAGGCTCACTGGTGCTCTAAGCACTGACCAATTTTGGTGCCCATGTCCTTTCCACACTGACCCAGTCCATTTTAGTTGTTGACCTGTCTGACCAGATATACAATGCAGGTTGCAGCAATACAAAATTTTATTCATATGATAACACAATATACTGTACAAAGTAAGCTTTTCACCCTTTTCCCAACTTTGTGGTGCCCCCTTTGGCTCTGGTGCCCTAAACACGTGCTTAGTCTGCTTAATGGTTAATCTGCCCTTGGGTGCACCGGACTCCTGCTTTTATATACTGAGTGAGGAGGCGTCTCCTAATAACCCGCACAAATGTCTTTATCGCAGCTCACTGCTGGGCCGTTTGGGGGAAATGAGACGCAGGGGACACCAGTCGTCAAACTTCAGTTTAAGCGAGCGAGAGCCATCTGCGGTGCCAGTCGGGAATTGTAGTTCCTCCGCTGAGCGCCCGGATGCGCGCGCACCATCCCCGGGTTCCACCTCCTTCCCGGCAGGCTCCGCAGCTGCAGGTGGAGGAGTGGCGGGAGCGCGGCCAAGATGGCGGCTCCAGGCGGTGCTGCTGAGGAGGCGCGGCGTGGCAGGTCAAGTCCGGGGGGAGGGCTGGACGAGGAGGTAAAAGGGGCGCAATTCGCGGCAGTTGCCGGGATTGGAGTTCCCCTTTGTTGTTTCTGCATAGTGAGCTGCCTGCTTCCTTGATGTGGGTGGCGGCGAGAAAAAAATTTGCTCTTCATATGGCTGGAGGCTCCTCAGGCATTTTGAAGCGGGTTTTCACGAGCCGCTGCGAAGGGAGGAGGAGGAAGCCGCGCGGGCCACGTTGCAAAATAAAGGGCGCGGCTCTGGCTGGAAGGGTGGGGTGGAAGCGAACAGCGGCCGATCTCCTTTCTCTCTAATGTATTCTCGCCCTCCCTTTCTCCTACACAGCGGGAGGAGGGATGACTCGCTGGATACTCTCCTCTCCTGCCTACCCCTCACCCCCTCGCTTTCGCCGAGGAAGAGGACCACAAGCCAGTCAAAGACGGAACCGCCACTGCTCAGGACCAGCAAGCGGACCATCTACACCGCAGGACGGCCCCCCTGGTACAACGAGACAGGCACACCCTTCAAGGAAGCCTTTGTGATCGGTAAGGGAGCTCAAAGACTGCCTTCGCATCTCCTCAGCTTTCCTGACTGACTGGGGGCTCTGCCTCAATTGACTGGTCCTCACAGAGCCAGCTAGATATCTCTCTTTCCCTCTGTGTCCTCCTTCCAGTGCTTCTTCTCTGGATCCACATACTGGATCGTAGAACTCCCCTTGTCCTTTCTTGGAGGCTGTAGTTCCCTCATCCATAAGAGAAAGGCTAAAATACTGGGTGTTGACTAGACCTTTGGTTCTGGCTGGCTGGTTCCAAAGCATCTGCTGGGATTTTGAGAGCATCTGGTGTGGAAACAGCACCCATGCTTGCTGCTCATTGTAGCACTGGATCGATGGGGCTTGATTGCTAGCAGTTGTTCTACAGATGAGAGAAGAAAAAGGTTCTGGGTGGCTCTGGGGGTCACAGTATAAGGAACATGCTGTACAGTTCACAAGATAGGTTAGAGAGAATTCTTCTGCTTTTTGTAATCATTACTGTTTTTTGCTTTATGCATCTCTGACTGTAGGGTATGGGGTTCTTAGAATGAATCACCAGCCCATTCTCCCCACTTCTTTACCCTTCATTGCCACTTTGTCTTGTCTTTGGAATGTGAGTCCCTGCTTCTCCCAGGTGGACTCTGTCTTTTGGCTGTTACGAGACTGATGTCAGAACCAGTGTTCCCTCTAAGCTGAGTTAGTGTGAGCTAGCTTACAGTTTTTTAGCCCCTGGCTCACACATTTTGTCTCAGCTCAGGAAGGATGGCTCCAAAGCAAACTGATTTATGCAGTAGCCAAATGCTTGCTCACAACTATAATGTCAGTAGCTCACATAGTAGAATTTTTGCTCACAAGACTCCACATCTTAGAGGGAACATTGATCAGAACTGTTATCCACATTGATTTGACCTGGTGTCTCTCTAGTAGTAGTTCCCAAGACTCTAATCCTTCCAGTTTAACCTCTTCAGATGGCTCAATTCTCAAAGTTCCCCATCCATTGGAGGCTTCAGAATCCCCTCTTCTCTGTTTGTAGGCTTGTGTGGTGGAAGCGCATCAGGCAAAACCACAGTGGCCAATAAAATCATTGAAGCTCTGGATGTGCCTTGGGTGGTGCTGCTCTCTATGGATAGCTTTTACAAGGTGGGTGGCTTTGACACAGTCTTTTGGCTCAATCCTCTAGAGCTAAGGACAGTCCAGCTAATGCCTAATTGCTAAATCTGAGAGACTTGCTTTTCTGACCACCTTGCATGTGGTGCTCTCCTAGGTGCTGAACAAGGAACAACAGCAGCAGGCTGCCTGTAACGAGTACAATTTTGACCACCCTGACGCCTTTGACTTTGACCTGTTGATCAGTGTCTTAAGGAAACTCAAAGAGGGAAAAAGGGTTAAAGTTCCGGTCTATGACTTCACCACACACAGCCGGCGCAAAGAGTGGGTATGTGAGGGGAGGGGGTGGGAAGAAGGATATCTGTATCTTATCTGGCTTGTTGTGTGAATGGATGTGGGCACCAAAACTGGGGTTTTGGGACATGAATAGATCTGGTATTAATTGTGTAACTTGTAGAAGATTCTTATTTGAATATTTCTATGGCTACGTAGTTTGCAGGAAATGGAGGTTTGGGCTTGCAGAAAATTAGGAATATGAGTTTAAGTGTACCTGCCTCATCTAGACTCAAGGAGAAATCAACACTGAAGTATTGGTAGAAAAAAACCTTGAATGTGTGTATTAAAAAGATGTCCCTGCTGCAACCCTGTTTGGCCCAGGCTATTAAAATACTTCCCTAAATCAAAAGGCCTGGAAGGGTTTGTGGAGAATATAAAGAGTTGGGTTTTGTGGAGGTCATGAAGGAACAGGAGCAGCTTCTAAGAGGATCTACACATTTGAATTTAGCCTTTACTAATATGCAGAATCTTATTTTAAATGGTCCGACATTGAAGGCTTGTTCTGGGAGGTAGTACATTCAAAGTAGACATTGAAACTGTAGAGTGGCCTCCATTTACACGATGCCAGGCTCACTGATAGCACTGCAGATTTTCTTTTAAAGAGGAATCAATGCAGTGGGTCTCTGGGGGCTAAATGACTGATGCTGAGTGAAAAAATCCAACTGAGATTACCTTTTAGTTCAGAATGGTTTTCAGTGACTGCCGGTGCTTTAAAAAGAATGTTCATTGCACTTGCAAGGGGAGAAACCGGCTTTCTTTGTTAAAACTAAAGCTCAGCATTTTAAGATTCTCCAGTCTGAGCTTGTCTTGCCTCCCTAGTGTGGGGCTGAGGACATTTGCATTCCTAAATGAGGTCTTCACACAGAGCAGCTTCTTTTGGGACCTTTAACCCCTGATGGGGCGGGTGGTGGTGGCATTAAGCTGTGTGTCTGTATTTGAGAGGCAGGGTAGTGTAGCAGATGAAATACTGCCCTGTAACCAAAGAATCAAGTCCGTTGGAATGTTCTTCCTTGAGGAGCATCACAGGACACCTCCACCCCCCCTTCTCCGCTTGAGCCTTGACATCTCTTCTCTCTCTGCAGAAAACTGTCTATGGGGCCAATGTGATTGTATTTGAAGGGATTCTGTCCTTTGCCAATAAGGAGCTTCTACAGGTATGGTCCTGATCTAAAGAGTGGATGGGGTCTGGGGTGGGGTGGTCTACTGTGGGTCAGGTGGCTGGTCTCTCAGATGCCTGTTCTTGAACTGACAAGATTGGAGGAGGCCTCCACCCCTGCTCCACAGCCTGTAGTTCTCATCTTAACCCGTTGCTCCTCCAGCTCCTGGACATGAAGGTGTTTGTGGACACGGACTCGGACATCCGGCTGGTGCGGCGGCTGAAGCGGGACATCATGGAGCGCGGGCGGGATGTGGTGGGCGTCATCAAGCAGTACAGCAAGTTCGTGAAGCCGGCGTTTGAGCAGTACATTGAACCCACTATGCAGGCAGCGGACATAGTTGTGCCCCGGGGTGAGGAGGGGAGCCTGTTTAGGGTGTGCTGGGGGGAGGGAGTCTTGGTGCATTCTTGGCATCCTCTCAAGGTAGGATGAAATGGCACTGGGGAAGAATCTGGCAGCTGCCAGTGAAAAAAAGGGGGTATGTTAGCTTTGGCTTCTGTTGTGGCATTTGCTTCATTTGTAGATCTAACCAGGAAGCTTGTTCTTGCATAGCCTGGTAGCCTGTACTCAGCAGGAATTGTTCACTCTGCTGGTGCCTCTGACTTTATTTTTGCAGGAGACTTTTTCTTGTGGTTCATTCTGGGTTTGGGTTAAAGCTAAACTGGAACTTCTTCAAATTTCTAAGTTTGTGTAGTTCTTCATTTCAAATATGGGGGGAGGGGGACACACCCAGTAATTTATAATGTTATCTAGCAAGAGAATACTCACAAAATATCAACACTCTTGCATGCCAGTTTTTTCCCACGTAGTGAATTTCTTTGCCACTTCTCCAGAACTTGCAGTAGGTAGCTTTATGGAACTCAAATACAAATGTATAATATTGGATAAACTGTCAACAAATAATTAAGTATTCTGTAAATGGATGAATTTGGGGACATAATTCATTTGAACTGTGTTAAGCTTAGGGGCTGAGAATGACCTGGGATGATGCTAGTTCAAGTTTTATCTTGGCCATGAACTTAAGAGACACCCTTGTTCTTTTTGTTTAGACCCATCCCCCACTTGCAGTGTAAAATATACTGGCTTTATTATCATACAAGGTAGTTACTAGAACAGGCTGAGATAAGGACATTGAATGAAGTGCTTTGAACATTCTATAGCAGTATCAGATAACGCTATGATAAGTTAAATGTCCTCTTCATTGTCTCCTCTTGGAAACGTGCCCACACCTGGTTGCCTTGAGCTCTCTGGAGCATCCATCTTTGCTTTTATTTATTTTGATAATTGTACCCTGTCTTTTTCCCTAATGGGGACCCAAAGTTGTTTATAAAATTATTTCCCCCTCCTCCATGAGGCAGGGTGGGGGTTGCTCAAGTTGCAGCCAGTTTATAGCGACCTTGTAAGGTTTTCAAGGCAAGAAATGAATAGAGTTGGTTTGCCATTGCTTACACATAACAACCCTGGACTTCCTTGGTAGTCTCCCATCCAAGTACTAGCCAGGGCTGACCCTGCTTGGCTTCTGAGATCTGATGAGATTGGGCTATTTTGGAAGGTTAGGCTGTGAGAAAATTACTGGTCCAAGGTAACCCACTGAACTTCCATAGCAGAACAGGTATCTGAAGCTGACTTTTCGCTAGAGCGTAATCTCACACTCTAACCACTACACCACAGTCGCGTTTGCAGTTCTGTGTTCCCAGAGGAGGAGCACCAGATGCCTTAAATCTCCCCACCCTAGGGATTGGGAGAATAAATGGTACCCCTCCTTTCCCCACTACTTCTTCAGGAGGGGATAACTTTGTTGCCCTGGACTTGATCGTTCAGCATGTGCACAGCCAACTGGAAAAGGTAAGGACATTGGAGGAGGGGACTCTGGGGTGAGGGGGGAGGAAGAGCTATTGTCCCTCACCTCCACTGCTGCAGGGTGGTCTGCAGCCCAGCACTGTCAAGCCTTCCCAATATCACCCACCCCCTCCTTGAGATCCCAGTCCAGGATCTATTCCCTCCCTTTCCTACCTTTGCCAGCCTCACTCCAAGCCCTGTTCAGCACACTGTGAAGCCCCTGCAAATTTAATCCCAAGCTCACATAAAACGCAGCTCTTCCCAGACTGCCCCCAGACCCGTCACACTGTAGCCATCCCTGAGTTAATGAGCAATGGAGGAGGTGGGTGGGGTGCCAGCAGGGCTAGCGTCCTGAGCCAGGCCGTGGGGCAGAGCTTGCTGTGTGCAGTGACTGGCTGTTCTGTGTTTCTCTCCCCCCCTCCCTCCGCCCCCTGCCTTGTAATGACTTTGCTGCCTTCCGATGTGGGCTCCTACTGCTGATGCCCAGCGTGAAATCACGGTCAGGTATGATGGTGGCCCTGAAGGAGCAGAACTAGACCCCTTCCTCTCCCCCACCCCTCAATCTTGCCTTGCCCCCATCCTGGTGCCTTTCCCTGCCGCACAGCAAGCCAGCCAGTGGGAGAGCAGCTGGGTAGTAGCGGGGCTCTTCTGGAAAGTTCAAGAGGCAGCTTGGGGAGAAGGAACTGGGAATGGAAAAGGAAATGTAGGGAGCGGTGTTCCCTCTAAGCTGAGTTAGTGTGAGCTAGCTCACGGTTTTCTAGCCTCCGCTTCACACATTTTTGTCTTCGCTCAGGAAGGATGGCTCCAGAGCAAACTAATTTATGCAGCAGGCAAATTGCTCGCTCACAACTTTAATGCCAGTAGCTCGCAAAGTAGAATTTTTGCTCACAAGACTCCACAGCTTAGAGGGAGCATTTGGTAGGGAGCCTTTATGCTCTGGGTTGTTCTGGAGCGAGAACGATACACCAAAAGCTGCCCTGCTTCCTGGCCTCCTTTGTGGGGCCTGAATTACAGCTGGTCTCCAGACTGCAGAGATCAGTTCCCCTGGATGACGTGGCAGCTTTGGAGGGCAGACTCTACAGTATCGCATCCCTGCTGAGCTCCCTTCCTTCCCCAGACTCTCCCCTCCCCAGGGACAGTCCCCAAATCTCCATGAATTTCCCAAGTTGCCTTTGGCACCCCTGCTTGTAACATGTGCTCTCCTTGGTGACCGGGCAGCTCTGCCTTTCTTTCCAAAGGCCAGCAGGGCTTGCTTTGGAGGTCTGGGATGTGCTGCCTGGCCATCCCAGCACTCGCTAAAAGGAGTGGGGGAGGTCGTGACATGCTGCCCTGTCTGTTCCGGCTGCTTGGGGCCTGTATTTGATGGGATTTTTTTGAACTTGGCAGTAGCTTCCTGAACACCTTCCACCCTCCCATGCATATCCCTCTTGGCTTCCATTGGGCTCTCCGAAAGGTGCATGCGTACATGTGGCAGCATCTGCCCTGCCTTGCCCAAGGGTGGGTGAGATGGAGAGAGAAGGGCTACAGCAGCTGTTAACTCTTTTGTGGGGCGAAGCTTTGGGGTCCCAGCTGCTCCCCCCTACTTTGGTCCTGTTGGGCAGATTCCTTCTTCTGCTCCCCCCTCCCACCCCTTGTGTGTGTGGCAGGAAGCTGCTGCCATTTTGCCCCTCCTAATACCCTCTGTCTGTCTATCTGTCTGTCTGTCTGTCTCTCTTCCGTCCCTGCTGGGCCTTGGCGTCTTCACCAGAGGAAGCTACGCTGGCATATGTGAGGACACTTGGTCTCCTTTGGCTGTTCCCTGCTGCCTTGCCCCTTCCCTTGGTGTGGTGCTGGGGTGGGGGGGGGGGGGAGGCTGGCAGACCTTCCTGCTGTTTCCAAGCACTGAAGTCTGAGGGGGGAGGGGGGGGGAGAATGACATTTTATAGCTTCATTGTTTGACATCAGTATGGGCAATGGCTCGCTTGCTTGTGCCCGGGTTAGCCTGGCACAAGATGCCACCTTCTGGTACCGCAGCACGGCAGACAACCTTCCCTTTCCTCTTGCTCAGGCTTCTGTCCAGGAAGGAGGGCGGTCTCCCCTGTCCATTTTGTGAGAGGTGGTCCTCTTTTCATTACGCTGAACAACTGTGCCTTTGCCTCTTTGCACAGAGAGGGAATTTGGGCTGAGCTATGGGAGGGTCCAGGGCCTTCATAGATAGGGTGGCAGAGGAGTTCCATTGAGGCATGAATGTTCATGCAGTCTGCAGGCACTCCTTGACCCTTGAGAAGGAGGTAATTGGGGGGGGGGTCTTACATACAAAACTCCCTCTCTTTCGCATGAACCATGTACTTTTCGCTTCCCAAACAGAGCAGCCTTGGCCTCAGCCCACCAGGGACAGCCGTTGCCGAAGACGCTGAGCGTCCTGGAGAGCACGCCACAAGTCCGTGGGATGCACACCATCATCAGGTACTGGGTATGCTGCAGCACTGGTCCTCCTTTTTCTTTGTGGCTTCAGGAAGCTAGAATAGTAGCTGCTGGGGAGGGTCCCTTGGTCTGGAGACCCTGCCCATTATAGAAGCAAGTCAGGGCAGAATCAGCGTGGCTTGGCCTGCCTTGTTCCAGAATATCTTCTAGGGTTGGGAAATGGGAAGAGCCCGAGGGAATAGCCCACTTTTCCTGCTTCCTCCATAGGAACAAAGATACTACCAGGGATGAGTTCATCTTCTACTCCAAGCGTCTTATGCGTCTGCTGATAGAGCACGCTCTCTCCTTCCTGCCACTCAAGGTATTGCATCCTTTCTAGTCATCACTCTTCCTTTGGGGTGCCAGAGGCCTCCTAACTATTCTCTGTGGTCCTGACGCTGCGTCTAGATCCCTGGCCTCGTGCTGGCGAGAGCACTTCCTCCACTTCCGTTCTCTTTCCCCAAGCAATAGCGGTCTGTCTTGTTTTTTGCAGCCAGTGACTGTGGAGACGCCACAGGGGACGGTCTATGAGGGGAAGCGTTTCCACAGGCAGCGGGTGAGCCACTCTTCTCTCCTCCCTCCTCCTCCTCTCCAGGTCTGTGGAGGGAGGGCGCAGAGGTTCAGAGGACTGGAGAATTTGGGGGGAGGCTGGGAGGGCCTAGGAACACAGGAAGCTGCCTGGTGCTGGGCCAGACAATTGGACACCCCCCTTTTCTCCCCAGTGAGGATTCAGAGCAGCTTATATCCCTGTTCCCTGTTCTGTCCTCACAGCCCTGTGGGGTTGGGACTGGCCCCAAGGGCACCCAGCAACTGCTTGCTCAGTGGAGTGAAGGTTCAGACCTGGGTCTCAGATCCTTGGTGGGCATTCCAACACGCTGGATCTCAGTCTGAAGTTTCAGGGTTTATTGACTCAGCGTTTATTGTGTTTCTGTGTCAAACGGACTGTTTGTTTTTAACTAGCTGTATGCACCACTAGCTGTATGCACCTTTGGGGAGTTTTATGGTAAACGGCCATCAGTAAAAGAGCTTAGGGGAGGGGTGTTGATGAGGGGTGGGGGCGCAGGGGCTAAGACGGGTTATCCAGCCAAACCTCAGTGGCCGCTGCTCTCTCCCCTCCAGATCACTGGTGTCTCCATCCTGCGTGCAGGCGAGACCATGGAGCAGGCCCTCACCGCTGTCTGCAAAGACATCCGCTTGGGCAAGATCCTCATCCAGACCAACCACGACACGGGGGAGCCTGAGGTGTGGAGACTGGGGTGGGGGCAGGGAAACGTGGGAAACGCGGGATGGCCTGGACTGGCTGACACGGGTCCCCTTGTCCTCCTACTAGCTGCACTACCTCCGGCTGCCCAAGGAGATCAGCGAGGATTACGTCATCTTGATGGACAGCACCGTATCCACAGGGGCTGCTGCCATGATGGCTGTGCGGGTGCTGCTCGTAAGTGAAGGTCCCGTGGCATGTAATGTGGAGACACACGGAGGGGTGTGGGTGTCAGGATTGCGGCCGGGGCTGGAGGCACTAACAGACTCGTGTGCCGTAGGTTGAGGGTTAGGATACAAGGGCTTCATCGAAACTGATGTCATGGGATTGGGGCTGTGGGTCTCCCATCTCCCTGTTTGGGCTTGGAGCCTTCAGGGTGTGTGTATTCAGGAATCAGTTTGGGGAGACACGTGGCTTTCTGTCCTGCACACACATGAAGCTGCCTTAGACTGAATCAGACCCTTGGCCCATCAAGGTCAATATTGTCAGACTGGCAGCGGCTCTCTTGGGTAGTGCTCTTTCACATCGCCTATTCCCTGGCCCTTTTTAACTTTAGATGGTGAGGATTAGAGGCCCTTTCCCTGAGCCTCAGCCCCTGCCTGTAATCTGGGCAGAGGGAGCTCATCGTTGGATACGTTGCTTCTGTCTTTAAATTACTTCTTGTTGACCATCTTTGTTAATTATTTTAAACAGATTATTATTTTTATATTGCATTGTTCCTCCCCAGCCTGGATCCTGACTGTCAGGAGAAAGGCTGGAGGTATATACATAATGTAAATAAATATGCCGCAGGATCATGACGTGCAGGAGGACAAGATCTTCCTCCTTTCACTGTTGATGGCTGAGATGGGGGTCCATTCAGTGGCCTATGCCTTCCCCTGTGTACGTATCATCACCACCGCTGTGGACAAGACAGTCAACGAGGAGTTCCACATTATTCCTGGCATTGGTAAGTGGGAGCTGGCCCAGACAAGGTGCCGGCCCTCTGAAGCCTTATCTCATTTGATTTTTTTATTTGGTCTTGCCTGCAGCATTGTTTTCCACCAAGCAAGGCCCTTGCAGCTTAGCAGCATGCCTTGAAGAAGCAGTTCCTCAAGCTCTGGTCTCCCTTTTTGTGGAGGAGAGGGGGTTGAAAATACATGAGGGTCGGTAGCGGCTCTTTTAGAGGAAGACATAGAATCTGCCCTTCAGTGGGGGAGGGAGGACCCAGCTAAGGATTTGCCACTGCTTGAGAAGCTGGTTTAATGTCTAGGCTTTTGACGGGTAAGGGCCGAGCCTTCTGTTTCCTCTGTCACATCAGTAAGAAACGTGCCTTTCTCTCCCGTTAGGCAACTTTGGAGACAGATACTTTGGCACTGATAGTACCACGGGTTGGTACGAGAATGACTGCATGGACTGCTGAGTTCGTTTGGTGGAGCAGCACTTCATCTCTTTGGTGGGGGAGCATGTCCCTTCCACGGGCATTGCTGTAAGGACCACTGCAGCTCTTAGCACAGTTCTGCATGTGCCTTCCCCTTCTCTGGCGCATCAGATGGAGAGCTGCTGCTGCTACCTCCTTGGCCATAAGGTCCCCTTTCGATATTTATTGGTATTTATAGGGGTACTTTGTTTCCTTCCTGGCACTCCGGCTGCTGCCCCATCCCAGTGCTGACTGGCTTTTCTGAGGCCTGATGTGCTAGCTCAAGGGCCCTGCTTAAAGGGACCACCTCACAATAGCCCCTAAAATTGTCCCGGTGCCCCATTTATGCCCTTTTTGGCTCTGTGGCAGGCTGGGCAGGGCCTGATGCAAGCAGGACTCTGTGGTAGGACCCTGACTGTCCGGTCCGCAAGGCTTCTGTGGCTGTTGCCTCATTCACAACCTTCATTTTCTGTCACACTGCCCCCCGGCCATCTGTTGAAAACGATTGCCCAGGCATTCAGAACCACAAACATGGCAATAAGGGATCCGTCCTGGGGGAGAGTCCACTGCTCCCCTTTTGCTCAGAGCTGGGTCTGCCTTCCTCCAAGTGGCTGTTGGCCTGGAATAGGCTCTGGTCACCTGCACACTCCCTTGTCCTCTTTGCAAGTGGGTGAATGGGGGTCGGGGCTGTACAGCCCACCCTCACCTACTCTGTATTGTCAGTACTGTACTCAGCTGCCTTCCTTGCTTTTTGTACGTGATAATAAAAATTGACACAAACTTGTGCTTGTTATTTTGGGGGGGGGGCTATTTCTTGTTGGCGTTTGAGAGCTGTGGAGGTGGGTGGGTGTACTTTTATGCCCGGGGTTTGCTACAGTTCCTATGGTGCCAATAGCAGAACTGTCTTGTGGTGCTGGGGCGAGGACTTCTGCTTATGCCCAACCAACCTTGCACTCGAGTGGTACTGTACAAAAGAGGAGCAGGTTTGGCTCACTGCAGCTCCAGTTTTCACATTTGTATTCTAATTTTTTATTTCTAAACACATACGTTGTTTTCGTTTCCATTTGTGGCACAAAAGAGGGATCTACGTGCTGTAAATAATTCTGGAGGGCTCCTGGTTTACTTACTTCACACCCTAGTTTGCTAAGCGGAGTGTTCACAGTCAGAAAGGATATATGACCCTTAACGAAATTTGATAATGCAGTGTGTTAACTATCCTTTCTGGGGAGGACAGGAGAATTACTTAGGAAGGAAACAAGGGAAGGCTTCCTAAAGCATAGGGTGCCTTGGAGCATTTCTCCATTGGTGCTGTTGGACTGGCTATTCAATCCCCTGATGAATGTCAACGCTGAGACTTAATTAGGCATAGTCCAATGGGATGAAGCTGCTCTTCAGAATTGCAACTAAGGTGAGATTCTCCTTTCTTATATTAGGCTACTAGAAGCAGGAGTCAGTGAAAAGAGTACAAAGAATAAGGTGTGGGTGGAGAGGGTGTGTCCTACTCTCCCCCATCAAAAGGTAGAAGAAATCTGGAATTTTATGCACGCTCAACCCTGTGGAGGGGGGCTAGTGTTACATGCTTTCAATCCCTGCATGTCCCTCTCTTTGGTGGTAGTAGCACCCAAACACCTTTTTCAGGGGATTGGAAGGGCAGAGTGCTTTGCAAGACTTTTCTTTTGCATTTCAGTAATGTCCCAGAAGAGCTCTGCTAGGTTGGGGGAATGACTGAGGGTGAACAGCAAGTGACAATAGTGACTTGCTTATTTTGGGAGCTGTTTCTAAATTGCAAGTGTTTCCTAGGACAAACAGAAGTGGAATAAACACTTTTTAATTTTTTAGTCAGAGTGGCTTTTAGAAAAATTAGGGTGTTTCTGAACCTGAGTGGAATGTTTCCCAGTTTGTTTTCCCCAGAATGAGTTGCTTCTGCTTATTACGGGAAGCTTTTCTAGAGAAATTTGCTTGTGTTATGAAGCAAAAGGGAAGCAATTTAAATACATTCATTGGAAATAAAAGCTCATGAGCATGTGAAATAGCTTCACCTGGCACAGAGTTTCTCCTAACACCGATTGAATCTGGGAGACCTTCAGCATCCAAAGCAATGCATCTGCTCTACCACAGTCTGCAGCCCCTCCCCCATAGGCTTAATTGGGAAATCCTGGTAACCAGTGAACATCCAGTGTTGGATGCTGTATCATGTTTGTTTGCTCTACACCCAAGGCTTGTTGACATTGGCATGTATGTATCTTGGGGCTGGAGGAAGTTCCTCTAGCCTAAGGAGTCTTCATGTAACTTGTAAACACGCTTTGTAAACTCGAGGAAATCTTTGCTTAGCGGAGTAGCTATGCATACTGTTCTGGAAGCCAAGTTATGGAGGTTCAAAGAAATACATGGTAATGTGTATAGGCGGCTTTCTTCTGTTTTCAAGTGGAAGCCGGAAATGAAAGAAAATGTGATTCCCTGATCTCTACAGCCGACGCTTATGACATCCTCTACTTGAGGTTAAGGGCAGCCCTCTATTGAAGTCCGCTGAGAAAAAAACGCCTAGCGTAAAATCAGTGGAATTTTTCTTTTCTCCTTCCAAAGGCACACTGAACACCCTTGAAAGCAAGGGGGACAAGGCGGATGTGTTCTATTCTGTCGTAGAGACTGGAAAACCCACAGGGCTAAACAGTTAGATCACAGAGAGATTTGCAACCTGTGTGTAAAAATCGAAAACCGCCCTCAGGTTGGATTATTTGTATTCGCAGAGTTAACGCCGCTTTAGTTTAAGGTTCCTCTATGGCGGAAGCTCGGTGCGCTGGAACGTAGCATGGAAATTCCTTTCAATTCTGTACCGGAAGTGTTTGTCCTTTGCTACCTCTACGGGGCGATTAACTTCTGCCGGGCCTTTTGGGGCTTCGGTATGTGCTCGTGCGCATGCGTCCGAGCTTTATGGTTACGGGTTAGAGCAAAAAAAAGATACTTCCGGGCATGCGTGGTGAGAGTAACTGGCCCGTGTCGGATCGGAGCCGTGTACGGGAGAGTCGAGACCGAGGGGGCTGGTGAAGGCTACAGGTTGGTGAGAGGGGCTGGGAAGGTAACGCGAGGTGGCTCCGTCGTCGCCTCGTTTAGGGTTAACGTTGTGCTTGACGTCCGGGTGACGTTGTTACCCTGCCTGGTGTTGCGTCACTCAGCCTTCCCAGACGCCATTGTGGAAGTTCCCTTCTGTTGCCGGGGGTGGGGGGAGAGAAGTTGGCTGGGATGAGGCTGCTCCCGTTGTCATGGTTGCGGGGGGTGGGGTGGCTGTGTTAAAAAGAAAACTAGGCCAGAATCAGCCCCGCGCCGACCCCAGGACGTAGTCTGTGTAAGGCCTGAGGTTTCGTGAGGGTTTCGCCTCTCCGGCCTCGGACAGGGTATTCTCCCGTTGCTTTCTCCTCCTAAGATTCCTTTGTCACCCGTCCTCGAGTTCAAATCCCCAATCTGCCAACAGGTTTACACGGGTAATAGAGCTGTCCTGTAGTGAAATGTATCAGAAAGATCCTTTGATAAAGGGATGCTTTGATAAAGGGATAGTTCACAGACTCTGAATTGTGCTGCCTGTTGCTGTAAGTATTCTACTCTGTAAATTTCTGCATTGTTTAATGTGTCGTGTTTAAATGGTTATGCTTTGTTTCAGCTCTGTTTAAGAGCTCTGGTTGGTTTCATATTTCTGCAAGCCAGACTTCACTATCCTGTAGACTGTATTTGATTTACACTGTGTAATCTGCCTTCAGTCTCGGGGAAGGCAGAGTATATATAATGTAAACAAATAAGCTTACTGAGTGGTTTGAGGCTATACTAACCCGCCCACCGGGAGGGCTGTGAGGAGAAAAATGAGGACTAGGAAGCCATATTATGCTACTCTCAGCTTCTTGAAAGAAAGGTGGGGTAAAAATCTGAACACCAGACTGGTCCCCTAGACATGGTCTTTGGGGCATCTCAAAACCTGAAGTGCTTAAAGAAAATTGAATCCCCCCCCCCCTTCAAGTGTTCAGTAGAATCAGTGTTGAGTTCTTGAGGCCCATATGTTGTGCTTATGAGTCTGGAGTCTGTTCTGTTGTTTGCATAAATGCCTCCTGACCTCCAGCTCACCTGTGTCATGCTGCCAACTCCAAGTGGAACTGATGGGTGAATCCGGGGGTAGTCCCGATCACATTTAATCACAAACTCCTCAAATGGAGAGTCAATGCATGGGTATGGTTCTTACGCAGGAACAGCCCAAGAAACTTTAAGTATTTATATCCTGCTTTTCCCCCAGTGGGGACATTATTATCTCCTCCTCACAACAAAAAAACCTGCAACTCGTCTCCCGCCCCCCCCCCCCCCCCATTGAGAGTCTGTGGCAGAGTGGGGATTTGAATCTGGATCTCCCAGATCTTAGTCTGGTGACAGTCTTCTTAACAACTATGCCATGCTGGCTAAAGTAGGGGCAAAGAGGTCACTTTTCCTGCAGGACTGCTTTCACCTTCATGCTGGGCTAATAACAGGTGGCAGTACGTGCAGCCCCCGAGGCCTTGCGGCCTAAGTTTGTTTCAGTCACGGAAGGGGGGGCAATGTTTTCTCCAGCCAGGAACAAGGGAGCATTCCGGCTGCTGTATGCTAATGGCTGGGACAGTTCCCCTATGGAAGCCCTGTGGGGTTGGGAGCTCAGTGCAGCCCCAAATGGCAAACACTTCCTCATGCCTGTCTGCAGAGACCCTGTGGCCTCATTTCCACTAGCTTAGTGTTTATTTGGCAGGATACGAAGCTGAATGGCTCTGGCCTTTGCAGCCTAATCTGGTTAAGGCATTCAGTCTCCCAAAGCCTTCTCAGGCTGGCTTAACCTCACTACCTCCCTCATTCAAGCTTCCGTGGAAAAGCTGGTGAACCCTGGAGGTGTGTCAGAAGAAAATGGGTTTGTGGTAGGAAAGCCCCTTGGCGGGTATTACCCAGAGGATGTGGGGAGGCAGCCTTGAATGTGCTGCATCCCAGAAGGTGCCCTGAGGCTCTGCAGTTTTGCAGTCCGGGAGATTCAGTCTGAGCCAGTTCTCTATCAACCCATGATCCAGAGTCAGCCACTGAATTGATGGGAGCTGGGGGTTTGGTAGTGAGTCAGCCAAGGCATTCCAATGAGGCTACAGTGCAGTTGAGTTCAGCAACCCTTGACGATGCTGCAAGAGGGGGAGGTTACCCTGCCATTTGGTGGAGGTTGCCCTGTGCCTGCCAACAGCTGACCAGGTTGCTCTGTGTGCTCCAGTGTGGCACTGGCTGCTCCCTCTCTTTCTTTCCATCCTCTGTGATGTTCGAATTCTTGGGTAAATGTTTGCCCATCTGTCTGATTGAACCTCACCAGGGTGGCTTTCTTGGGACACCACAAAGCTCAGTTGGACAGAACAGTCATCAGGCTTTTAGCAGCTTTGGCTCTGCCTGGGTGGAGCCAGAGGTTGGGGCAGGCCTGCTTATTTAGACTGGGACATGCCCCCCCTCGGAATGGGAAGGGTTGGGCCAGCGTGCACTCATGTGATTGCCCATCTCAGCTCTGGAATTTGTTTCCTGATCCTGGGTGGGCCATGGCCAAACACAACTGGAATGCAGATCATATTTCCACAGTATGTAGGCGTACTTTCTCAGCATTCCAGCAGAACGGCTTTTGTATAGGGCCAGGACTCAGAGCCTTGGTCAGGCTTGCAAGTGTGTGGGGCTGGGCAAAGCGGAGTCCTTGGGCTGTACAGGTGTCGCTGCTTGCACTGTGGAGTGAAGAGGAATAGGAAG